GTTATCACTGGTCGACGTGGCCACTTGAAATTTTGATGAAAAACTGACATTATTTTTTAAAAATCTCGAAATCTCTAGCAGTTGTTAGGCCAATCTTAGTGGACGAACTAGCCATGGGTATGGGTAACATACCCTATAGAAATCGTCAAGTTTGATTAACAACTGCAGGAGAACCATACGAGACCATTTTTTCCGTGCAAACGGTACAAATGGCTTGCAATTCACTCACATATATCCCTTCTTCGAAATTGAAAATTCTGCTTAGCATTAAAACACAAAAATCCATTAGAACACATGATAATACCTCAGAATTTTACTAGAATTCTATCTTCTTAGGAAACTTGTGATTTGTTACATACATATCCCTTCTTCGAAATTGAAAATTCTGCTTAGAACTTTGTTTTTCCGGCAGAATTTAGTCAGAATTTAGGCAAAATTCTAACTCTCCAGCAAAATTGTGTTTACCCTTATACACATTCCCTGCATCAAAATCAAAATTCTGCTTAGAACTTTGTTTTTCCCGCAGAATTTAGTCAGAATTTAGGCAAAATTCTAACTCTCCAGCAAAATTGTGTTTACCCTTATACCATTCCCTGCATCAAAATCAAAATTCTGCTTAGAACTTTGCTTTTCCAGCAGAATTTTACTAGAATTCTATCTTCTTAGGATAAAAAGCAAAATTCTGTTTAGAATTCTGCTTTTACAGCAGAATTTAGCTGATCTTAACTCAGAAGCTTTACCTGCTGATCGAAGTACAGCATCTTTATTACCATAAACAGTCATTTATTTATTTTGAATACCCTTTCAGAATTCTGTTTCAATTCTGCTGTTGCAATCGTGTTCTGCACCGTATCCTATTATTGATTCTGAGGCACTAAGTTAGATTTATTGTTCATGTCTGTTACGCTTACAGAATTCTTAAGTTCTGCTTGTGATGAATTCTGCCTGGCCTCATATACTTAGGGTAAACCAAAAGTTCTGGCCATGGCATTTTAATATAAAAGCGTTAAGAAACTTTCTTTCTACATAGTCTGATAGAGAAAAGAATGCTTTTTCTTCCTATGCTATTTGATCATATTTCACCTAATATCATGAGGAATAATAGAATTTGGATTAGTTTCGTTTTTTCTATCGTATATGACAGTTACACTAATGCTTATTCAGTGGAAATTTTTTGAATAACTTTTGATAGGAACAAGATAGAGAGCTGCAGTTTTCATCGTTTGAAAGAGGAAATACAGATGCATCGAATCATATATGGTAAATTTGTTGATAGGATTTTTTAAGGTTTTCAGCTAAACTTTTCGAAAACAAATCTACTCCTTAAGGTGTTTACAGCGAATTTTCTATTGTCGGATGTGTATTCAAACTACCGATGGAAGACTTACACGATTGCAGATGCTTTGAATTAATCATTTCGAAGTTACGGACATTTCTAGTCGAAGCTCTAAGTGATTTTTTAGATAACTTCTGTATCAAAGAATTTTTTCCGTTTTGTTTTTATTAGGAAACCATTTTTTCCACATTTAGACAATTGATTAAACAAAGTTCAGACAACATACTAGAAAAACGTATAATATACGAATAAAATAATAATAAAAATTATCTGTAAAATTTGTCTTCCCTACTCCCATTATTTGTAAAAATTGTCTCTCCATACTCCCATTATCTGTAAAAATTGTCTCTTTCCACTTCAATTATTTGTAAAAATTATCTCTCCCCACTCGAACTGGCTCTATCTACTTGAATTTCGAAATAATGTATCTAAAAAATATATTACCAACAGCACGTCAAATTGCATTAAAACATGAAAATCCATTAAATTACAATAAATTGCATAAAAACACATGAAAAACCATTAAAACACATTAAAATGCATTAAAACACAAAAATCCATTAGAACACATGATAATACGTCAAAGTGTATCAGAATAAAGACACGTTAAAATCCATTAAAACGCATTAAACTACATTAAAACACATTAGAATACATTATCAAAAGATCTTTTAATGAAATCCATTGCCATATATTAAAATCAATCAGGAATGCATGAAAACATATTATATGTCTAAGAATTAAAAAATACATTTTTCCATATATATAATGTTATATTTTACCTGCAACTTAGATTATTCTTTTATTTGTGTTTGACAATGCATCGTGCAATATTTTTCTTACTGATGATAGTGCAATGTTGGTGTGATGTATAAGTTTCAATAGATCGAATGAAAGAAGAATATTGTATTAGTGTTGGTAATAATATTTGGCTTCGTTCATCTAGTACTGCTTTATATGTTGATCATCGATGATATTCATCAAATGATAGTTCTCTTCTTCTTATTGATACTCATGTATTCCAGGGTGATGATCCGAATTTTGGTAATTGGAATGAAACTCAATTAATTTATAAATTAAATCGTAGTGGAATAGTTACGAATGTATCTACACATATTCGTCAATTGAATTCTATTCATCAATAACATTTCGTTTGAATATTGGTACAAAAGATTTAACAAATAATATTAATCTTAAGATGGATCAAGTTCGTACTGTATTTCCATCATTTAAAATTGAACAAATTGATACAAATGAGTATCGAGGATATTTTACATTTGAAGGTAAATGTTTTTTTTGTATTAATTATTTGAAATATTTTTATATAGGTGTTATGATGGGTTATGATGAAATGCATAGAGATATTTGGAAATCATCAAATACAGTTATTAAATCAGGTATGGAAGCTGGACCAGTAGTACTTTTTAATTTAACTCAACATGGACAAAATGATGTTATTATTCTTTCGCCATTTGTTCAATTTATGGCAACATCATTAAGTCAACAAGATAATATATTACAATATGGTGTTATGGGTTCAATAAAAACTATTCCAGCTAATTATAATCATACAATGATTCTTTTTTATTCATCTAATCGTATTAATGATGCTTTACGTCAATATGGTAATATAATGCAATGAGCATATAATCGAGATAAACAATATTGTCTTAATGATATAACTATAAATTATCTTGGTTATTATACAGATGGTGGTGCTTATTATTATTATAATACAGAATCAGGTTTAAATTATGAAGAAACACTATTATCTGTTCATAAAAAAATAACACTTCCATTTCATTATATTCAATTAGATTCATGGTGGTATTATAAAGGATTAAAAGGTGGTGTAAGTCAATGGAAATCTCGACCTGATATTTTTCCTGATGGCCTTCCATCAGTATATCATCAAATGGATAGTATACCATCAGCAGCACATAATCGTTATTCGGCATTAGATACAGTTTATTCAGATAAATATAATTTTGCTTTTGATCATATCAATGAAATGTCTTTACCAATGGGAAATGATTCACTTTGGATTGATTTATTAAGTGATGCGTCACATAATTGGGGTCTTATTATGTATGAACAAGATTGGTTACATGCTCAAACATCAAAGACCAGACACGCATGAACACTTACAATGATGAAATACACTTTTTCTTATTTTATTTTTCTTTTCTAGAAAAGAAACGTTAGATAGTAAAAAGAAAAACAAACGAACAATTGTACATATAGAAATACAATCTTATCGAACCAAGAAAAACTATTACGCTGCTAAGAATCAGAGAGTAAATGCTCATTGTGAAATGTAGAGAGAAATAGATATCTGATAGTGATATCAAAACATAGATATTCTATCTAAAAGCATAAAAATAAGTTAAATGAAAACAAACGATCGGAATTGATAAATTGACCAAAACAAAGATCAATGTGGAGCAATCAGTTGAAATTCATGATATACTGAAGCACAGTGGATTATTTCATGTTGATTTGAAACTGCATGATGTCTCAATAATGATAACAAATAATCTATTATACTACTGAAAAGCTGAATTGAATTCTGAGAAAAGAAGCGTGAAACTGACATTTAGTCTAAATTTTGAAAATTCAAATGTTGCACATAAGTAAATGTTTTCTGTCCAAACTCCTGGTAATAAATAAAGCCGGTATTTCAAGTGATGGTGTCTATTTGTGCACTTAACATATGGTGTAAAAGTAATGGGAATAATGTCAAGCCATGGTTCTTCGCTTAGGAACATTGTAGAAAGTTCATTCTTTTTCTGGTTAAAAGAGCTAAGGTTGAACTTTAAAAAGCATAGAAAAGAATATTTTTTGGGATTGACTTTGAGTGAGAAAAAGTTCGATATCAAACATCGCCAAAAGAGCTCTTGCAACATAACCTGCGATGCAAAGTATTTGCCGAAATGTCAAGCCTTATTCTCTGCTACGGAATGTCAGATCGGCTTGAATTTTGTTTTGTTTGAAAAAGCAAAGTCAGGAGAACAAAACAGGCAAAAAATGTATGAATTTGCCGGTCGGTTTATTGAGACAAAATTCAGATACGGAGCGCCACTCAAAATACCTTTGCAACCCGTTTTTCACTATTTTCAGCCGCTCGGTTTGCCGTGTTGCCTCTTTAGGAGCTTTAACTTAACACAGCCAAAAATAGGCCTTTCGAAGCTCTATCAAATGGTATATTTAAAATTTTGTTTTGGTCTTGCTGTCGATGTGAAAACTCTATTCTTCAAAATGCCTCGTATGCTAGAATATAGATTTGGTAAAAACTGAAAAATTGAAAAAATGGCTAGTTTACAGAAGCTTGAAAAAGTAGATGGAAAGTAAATGGAAAAAATTTGAAAGATATACGTTAGATAGAGTTTTTGACGGCCTATTCAATCATGTATTTCATTACGTATTTCATTTATGGCTTATAGGCGTAGGAGGGAAACTATTCGCGAACAAGTTTTTTCGTGTGTTGCAAGACCCTTTTGAGATCAATCGAAAGAATTTTGTCCTATTGTTCAAATTGAATAAATAAAAAATTTCTTGCTAGACACATTTGTTCTCCAGACTTTGCTCTTTCAAACAAAACAAAATTCAAGTTGATCCGACATTCTATAGCTGAGAAATAAGGCTTGATATTATTGCCATTACTTTTGCACCATATGTTACATCGGAGACTAACAGCTGTTAGCTTAATAATTTTGGGTAAAAAAGACTAAACTAAGAAAAGTTACAAGAATAAATTTGCAGAACATTTGGCGCAGCAAAAATCATGCGTTCTTATTGCAGAAGATGTGGATTAACATCGAAGAACAGATGAAAACTATAACACAGGATACAAATGTACGATTGCATACTGCTGTAATTTGTTGTAAAACCATTTTATATACTTGCTTCATTTTGAATAAAAATTATCTTCAAAAGCGATGAATTATTTTTACAAGGTATTGGAAGTTGAACAGAAAAAACTTTTAGGCTATTTGGAATTAAAAAATTACAATGACAAACTCTGTCCGAAGACGGATTTTCTCAGTGTTTTCCCATGTTTTACTCTAAAACTTTTTCTCGTAATTATTTCGTTTAAATTTCTGAAGCGCACATCAACAGATGCAGAATTTTAAAAAAGAAAAAAAAAATGCTGTTAGACGAAGAGTGGTTACTGTTTAATTATCACTTAAATTAGTATCAACATTTTTTCTCATACAAAAAGCGATCTGCATTTTTCATTATTATTTTGATTGCTGTCATCAATGATTGAGAATGTTGAATCTACAACATTAACAATTGTAACTTGATCATATACAGTTCGCGGGGTTTTCAATCTTTTTGATGCAAAATAATTTTCTTTGACATGAATACGTTTTGATATTTGAAGAACATCAGGATGCATACATTTTTATTCTAGTTTCGATACCTTGTACACCCACGGCAACATTCAACGGCTTTGAATCTGGAACTACCTATCAGACTTATTGCGGTGGCTACTATAAGGCTGTGATCTGGTCATGGTTTGATTCACTGTATGGCTGCAGTATGAATGCAGAAAACGATGCTGTCAACGCTAGAACTAGTTCTGATGTATGGCGTAATAGATGTAGTAATGCTACAGGTAATTTATCACCACAATTTTCATCAATAATTAGATAAACCTGCGTTATTAGTTGTTGGTGAAAAACAGTAGGAGTAGTTCTCCAGTTTCATTTACTGCTTCAGTCAGTTAAAAACAACATCCGACTCACATCTTACAATAATTTCTTTGTGATTGCAGGTCATTTCATAACCATTTTTAAAAATTTTCTGCGCGTTTATATTGATGAAATTCTTGCCTCTGACGTTTACTGCGTCTAGATTTTACCCACCACCAAACTAGGTAGGCAATTATCAATAGCGATGGAAAGAAAATTCAGTTTATTCTGTCGATCGTGGTTGCTCATATGCTACTTCTTATCGAAACAAAAATGAAGATAAATTATCGTTGATTTAAGCCAAATTGAAAACGTTAATACTGTAAGATCCAAATCCTACTTTAGTTTATTTCTGTATACCACACTACTACACACTACATACATTTTATTACAAAAAATTAGCAACTATAAATAGGTTTATGAACAAGACGTTGGATACGTTGGATATGGGACTATACGAACGCGTGAAAGGGAAAATACCGCAGAGAGTAGAGAGAAAGAAAAAACCTATGATTGAACAGAGAAGGAAGAAAAGAGAAAGGAATAATTCATATGAGAGAAGAAGAATTCCTATCATAGAGAAGAACGCGCAAAAGTATATATGTGTATGTATATAAAAGGAATAGAAGAAGTGATGATATGATCTAACCGAAGGTGAAGATCATAACACCTCCCCCTTACAACAAAGATGCGCGTCCCGCCCATCGAACAAGTATCACTGTGAACGAAACATAACAATGGTCATAAGAAAAGTTTTTTATTGTGGTTAGCCGAAACCAGAGTATAGCCTTGAGTTGCCACGTCTCAAGGTGTTGGTTCTCAACATTTGTTAGATTGCAATCAGATCCTACATTAGTTAAGGAAGATTAATTAACATGTATCTAATCGAAAATGAGAAAACGGGGTTTTATTTCTGATAGGGAACATAATTTCTGCCGTCCACTAGGATCAAGACCAGCCAGACTGTATGATCTATCAAAAATACATAAGGACGACGTATCTTTAAGACCAATACTATCAGCGACTAAAGCGTACAGCTATGGACTAGGAAAAATGTTAGCTAACAGACTATCGCATTTATGTAATAATGCACTAGTCTGTATAGAATTTACAAAATGAGGACCGTCGAAACGTTTCAAAAATGAGCATCCTGCGATAATATGACTATAACTCCGCCAGTTTTTATCCGTTCTCTTCGAGCAACGTCTCATTGGAAAGCCTGGTAAAGACTGAATAAATTGATGCCTTTTCTATATTTTAAACATTCATCCTTGATTTTCTAGTACACGACCAAGTGGAAAATTGCAGTTTTGAAAACTGCGTTTTTTTTAATAAAGTGATAATAATTTATTACTCGAAAATCTCCCTGAATAGATATATTTATGTCATCTTGTAGAGAGATCTACTCTCTACAAAATGAGTTATAAAACTTTATTCTACAACCTTTGCAACATAATGCAAAATGCTGTACAATAGGTGGCACTATAAGAAAAAATCTTACATCTTTTCTAGAAACATTTTAATTTTTACAGAAACAAACATAGTTCTTAAAGAAAATGGAGCTTGCTGATCATATTTCATGTGCTTTCAAGCACATCTTTGGCCAAGTTGATGTCTTAGGTGCAGCGAATAGTAGGAATTGGTCCTTCAAAAGCGTAGAGGTAGCAAATTTATGTACTAAACTCAGTGGTAGGTGTGGACAGATAGTAGCCGATTTGAACATAGCAACGATGTTTCTATGACTTATCCTTACCTACTGACTGCTAAAAAGTACAACGCTGTATATATGTACGTATAAATGTACACATAACTAAGATAGATTAGTTGATGCTGTTAAGTCTCTCTTAAGAAAGAAAGATAAAAAGTATATTGACTCATTACGATGTCTCATAAGATATTATTATCTGTTCAACTGTTTGTGTGAAAAAAATAGAGAAGGATTAAATCGTAGCCAGGTTATATTCATAAGCAGCTTTTCTATCTATAGCTTTCTTTTCGAAAACAATATGCATCACATATGAGTATTTATTATACGGAGTCTGCAGTCGTAGTCTACATTCTTAGTTTCATCGTATTCTGTCAACTTCGTAATGAAAATATTTAGTAAAAATTCTCTTTACCAAAATTTGAACATAACAAGTAGTAAGTATTAAATAGTATAGCAACAGCAGTTGAACGATTTGTCTTTAATAATCACATCATTGAGTTAGACTCCAGCAAAGGATCGAAAAATGAAAGTTCACGAAGAAGAGTTTTTAACAGAATCAGGCATTTGCTGAAGTGCCACATCGATTTAAATAAAGAGATGCAGTTGGTCTGTCAAAAACTACAACAAGTCCGTACACGCCGCAAAATTCTCCAACATCACTTGACAAACGTTTAGGGAGCACTCTCGATATTAGATCCTCGAATAAACGATGCCAGCAGGACCAGAAAGAAATTC